AGTTTAACCCAATCTACTATAATCTTTGGGGTCGTCCATATCGAATCTGACACCCTGTATAACCTGAAGAGGATCGCAATTCGCGATCGAAATGTCGTTGTGACCTTTATAATAAATGCCAGATAAGTCATTACATTGAGTTAAGTTGATTTTCAATATACTGGCAAAGAAATTTCCAAATTAGTTTGAAAATCTTTAATGTTATTAGTATCATATAAAATCTTATTATTATTATTTTCGTGATTTCCTGTATCAACTTTACCTATATTATTTCTTGCTTTTAATAAATTCGAAATACAAACCTTCTCTACATGACCCGTCTTATTACAAGAATGACACTTTATAATTAATTCAACAATCTTGCTTGAATTTTATGATTATTACGCCTGCATTGAATACATACATTTTCCAATCCTACAGCATGGTAATTGATTCGGCTTTTTGAGCGCGACTGGCTATTTGAACGGCTTTTTAAACCTGACTTGTTATGGCTATCTGAACGATTTGAACGCTTACTTGTTTAACTTTTAGATTTCGAAATTCGATTTACATCAGATGAAGACTTTTTTGAAGTTCCTGATATTTCGTAATTGTCCAATTTTGATGTTTTCAACGCAAGAGCTACGTCTACTGCTTTCTTGAAAGTCAAATCGGTTGTCAATCGGTTGTCAAATAAGTTTTTCTCAAAACGTTGCATCCTGAAGTCCTCGGATAAGCTGTGCGCGTAGGACTGCTACAGAACGTCCGCATTCGCACTTGAATCCACAGGTAGCTATGTATTTCCTTAATTCGGCGATGTAAGTTGCAATATTTTCTTCTGGCTTTTGCGAGCATGAAAGAAAACGATGTTGTTGTACTACATTTGGCTTTGGACACAAATATATTTCCAGAAGTTCTATTAATTGCGTATATGTTTTCTCTGTTGGCAAATTTGGTACAGTTAGCGATGTTAGCAGTTCGTAGTATTTCGATCCAATGCAGTTCAGTAAAGCCTTGGCACAAATATCTTTATCATTGAATACGTTCTTCAATTTGAGATAAGTAAAATTACATGATTAAAAAAATGCATTGCCTTTCTTCACACAAACTAACTGCGCTAGGCGCTAGGTAGGAGAAAATATAATTTAAGCGAGGGAACTGAATGCGTGTGGAAGGAGAAAAGAGTTAAGTTAAACACTTAACTTTTTCCTCTCCCACATCCAGTCCTCTCACTTCCCAGTTTCTACAAATGCGTGGTTTTCAAATGTTGTGGATATGCCATACCCCTGTATGGTACGAGTTAGGTATTTTTTAAATATCTTGTTTACAATTTTTTTATTTGTGAAATAA